CAACCCCCCCAAAACCTCTAAACCCTAAACCCCGAAACCCTGACCCCTAAACCCTAAACCCTAAACCCTTATCCTTCTTCTCAGCCCTGGTCCTTAGCCCAGGCTTGGGAGATACTGGGTCATTGCCGGACAGGCTTACACCACGGAGGCTGGCAACGGTTTAGGGTTTAGGGTTTCTTCAAGGGTGTAGACACCAAACCCTAAACCCCCAAACCCTAAACCCTAAACCCCCAAACCCACCCCCAACCCCAAACCCTAAACCCTACATGTAGGGTTCCGGGGCCCAGGGTTCTAGCGTATTAGGGTCCTGGGATCTTCGGGTTCGGGGCCGGTAGACTGGTAGGGTGGTTAGGGGGTTAGAGCTTCAAAACCCTAAACCCTAAACCCTCAAATTTAGGGTTTAGGGATAGAAGCCCTATAAGCACTATAAGCCCTAAACCCTAGAGCCCCAAAGTTTAGGGTACAGGCTTCTGGAGTTTTGGGTTTTAAAGTTTCAGGCTCAGGGGGGTTCGTTTACGAGAGCCGGCTTGTGGGAACCTAAAAGCTCTAGGGGTTTAGGGTTTTAGTGGTTTAGGGTTTTAGGGGTTTAGGGTTTTGGGGTTTTGGGGTTTTGGGTTTTAGGGGTTTAGGGCTTTAGGGCTTTAGGGGGGTTTAGGGGTTCAGGGTTTAGGGTTTTGGGGTTCCCTTATGTGGATAGTTTTCTAAACTAGGGCCCCTTTTGGGGGTCCCTTTTTAGAAGGGTGCCGTACTATATTGGGGACCTAAAAAGGGACCCTAAATTAGGGAACCACCCATGTGCAAACTTGGAGCTCATATTGATTAGCTGCAAAGAAGGAAGCTTGGGCGGTTAAGGATAGACAGTCCAGCTGTCAGTAGTGCAGTAGTCTTTGAGTGTCGGGGCTGCCATGTACTGGGTTCTTGTGAAAGAACTAAACCCTAAGACCCTAAACCCCAAGCCCCCCTACCCTAAGCCCTAAACCCTAAACCCTAAACTCGTACTGTAACAAGGAAAGCCCTTAAGGTATCGTGTTCATGTATCCCTGCGTCGTGCCGCGAGCGCAGGCACTGGGGGAGCTGGAACCACCACGATCCGGATATTTCGGCCCCGGCCTATGCAGAAATTGGGTTCAGCGTCTTGGGATTTGAGGAGTTTAGGCCTTCAGGGTTTTGAGAATTAGGGTTTAGGCCTTCAGGGCTTTTAGACTTAGCTTCTCTGCGTTTTGGGAGTTTCGGTGTTTCTGGTCCAGGCTTCGAGACACACAGAGGTGTCGCTTTCCCTGTGGCCACCTTTCGCCAAAGACTCCAAGCATTCAGAAGGCACCTATCGCACCTCACCTTAAACCCTGAACCCTAAACCCTAAACCCCTTCTAAACCGTTGAGTGAAGATTTACCTCCCCTTCAAACCCTAAAGCCTAAACCCAAACCCGTCTTTTGCTTGGCTCTTGGCTCAGGCGATCGGCTGGCGAGCTGGGTGAGTGCCATGGCGCTCCCCTCAGTCTCGACCAGCCGGAGAGACCGGTGCAGAACCTGTGGGGTTTAGGGTTTAGGGTCTAGGGTCTAGGGTTGTAGAACCCTAAACCCTAAAACCTACAGGGGTAGCTTTCTAAGTTAGGGTCCCTTTTGGGGGTCCTTTTTATAAGGGTGCCGTACTATATCGGGGACCTAAACGGGGACGCTAATTTACAGAACTACCCACAAATAAACGGTTGAGGGTCTAGGGTTTAGATTTATGCACGGTTTAAGGTTTAGGGTTGAGGGTGTGGGATTTGGGGTTGAGGTGGCCAATTTCCAGCGAGTCACGCCACGGTTAGTCTTGCAGCAGACACTATGCGGCGCAAAGAGGCTTCCCGAAACCCAGAGCCATAACCCAAAACCCTAAGCCCTAAATCCTAAACCCTAAAGCCAAAGCCAAAAGGCCCAAAAACCATAACCCAGAACCCTAAACCCTAAACAGCAAACCCTGAAATCTTAACTCCAAATCCCAAAAACCCAAACCCCCCAAACCCTAAGCCCCACATGCCAAACCCCAAGACTCTAAGCCCTACCTATAGTCTCCATGGTAGTTCCGTTTCTTGTTTTAACCAATTTGATATCAAGGATCCTAGAAGGCAACCCCAAAGAGGAACTACAACGGAGACTACAATTGGTACTCCCTAACTAAACGCTTAGCGAAACCCTCAAGCCATAAAGCTACAAGTGCCCAAGCAAGAACACCTCCTTCGAAGAACTAGCCCAAGAACCCTGTGACACACCTCTGTTCTTTAGAGTTTAAGGGTTTAGGGTTTAGGGGTTGGGGTTTAGGGTTTAGGGCTTAGGGGCCCAGGAGAACCCCAGCCAACTGGCCGCCCACGGCGCCACGCGCAACCTGTTCTTCGGGGACCGACTCCCCATCTGCTGTCGTGTTAGGACTGTACCCATAGGCCCCATAGTAGTTCCTTTTTGGGGTTCATATTTAGATTTCTATTAGGTAATCCCAAAAACGAACTACTATGGGGCCTATGAGCAGTGATGTACCTTCTTGTTGAGGGTTTCGGTTTCAGGGGTTTAGGGGTTAGGGTTTAGGGTGAGGTACCTTCATCTTGTTTAGGGTTTAGGGTTCAGGTTTAGGGGTTTAGGGTTTAGGGTTCAGGGTTTGGGGGTTTAGGGGTTTAGGGTTTAGGTGCCTTAATCTTTAGTGCTCTTGGCTAGGGGGTTCTGAAACACATCTTCTCTATGTAGGTTCTAATTAGTAATAGGGATCTATGTTAAGTAAGTAACACGGTTACCAAATTATGAACTTATATGGGCAATATAGGGGCCTAAATATACTATTCTTAGGGTTCCTCATTCTAATTATAGTATACTATACCCCCAAAACCTTATTCTATTTATTCAGGCCGCCATATTAACTTCTAAACCCTAAACCCTCAGCCCTAAAACCCTAAGCCCTAAACCCTAAACCCTAAACCCTAAGCCCTAAATTGTTCGTGCTGTGAGTGTTTACCAGAAGGGAGCCAACTTTGCCTCCCCAGCGTCCCGGGGGCTCTTTGCGTCCTTGTACCCTAGTTAAGAGGTTTAGGTTTTAGGGTTGAGGGTTTACGGTCTAGGATTTGGGGTTTAGGGTTTAGGGCTTCGGGTTTAGGACATATGCACAAAAACTCACACTTGTACTGTTTATTCTCATTTACAAGATCCCAGGACCCCAGAACAGTTGTTTTTCTGATCCGGCTTCAAAAACGCCTTCCCTAAACCCTATAAACTCTGAAGCCATGTAGAGGCACTGGCTTCTAAGACTTTCCGCCAAACCCCAAGCCCTAAACCCTAAACCGGAGGATCGTGGCAACAACCGCCTTCGCGTGATTTTTGGGTCCTTGGGCCCTCAGCCACAAGTGCAGGTGGGCAGGTTTTCGCCAATTTTCTTGCAGAATGGGATTTACATGGTTTGTCGTTAAGGATCGTTTATGTTACCGGGATGTGTATCTGTATCTGTATATATATATATATTATATATATATATATATATGTGAGCCCAGCCGCTCCGAGGAAACACAAAACCGAACCCCCATCATTCCTGCTTGCTTCCGGGTAGAGCGTGGGTTCACTGTCATCCAGGGTTTAGTGTTTTGGGGTTTAGGGTTTGGGGTTTAGGGTCTAGGGTTTGGAAAAGGTGCCCTAAACCCTAAACCCTTAAACCCTAAACCCTAAACCCTAAACCGTGTGTTTTGGGGGCTACTGACTTGGGCCTGGCTCGTCGATTGTGTGTCCGAGGCTCGGCAGCAACTGCTGCTGTACCCAAATTGTTTCATCCTTCTAGAAGCAGCAAACTTGCAACCCTAAACCCTTATAAACCCTAAAACCTAAACC